TCACTGACGCCTGCGTTAGCGGCCGCAGAAGCACCTCCTGCTCTTAGACTGTGTAAACCAAACAAGTGTTTAGGAGGATACCCTAATTCCGCAAACGCTGGTAAAACTATTTCCATAGTTCTGGTATAACTCGTACCCGTGGAACGCAAACTATAAGAAGAAGTAACTTTATGAAAATGCAAGGAGCGAAAAAACGGTAAAGACGAAGACAAGTCTAAATTAGCGCTACGGACGTATCTGTTAAGCATGTGAAAAGGGCAAGAAACAGAGTCTGATTTTCTTAAGAAAACATGGGCGCCATCCCTATAAACATCTGTTTTGCTCTTAAATACATAAATCCTAACAAATGTATCGCAAAAACTAACGTCACAACAACGAAGGCTAGCTAACTCGTTGTAAAGGAAAAGACCGAATAGGCAGTCACGCAAATTGCAGCTAAGCGAAGATCAGAAATATTAGCATTGGGACCCGCAAACCACTGAACCAGTTACATATACTCAAAATCATTTCACGAGTAACAGGTTCTTTCTTGAGAACAGGTTTTGCAAGTTCCCTTTTTGCAGCCTCAAGCACGTTCCTTACCAATTTTGAATCATAAGGACTTGGAAAGCCATACAAATTGTGCCATAACAGGCAGACTCAAGCGTGGAGTAGGGGTAACTCTGCTGTAGCAAAACCTCCAAGTAAAGGGCAAGCAAACGACTTCTTCAAGGCAAGAAGACCATTCTCTAAATTTTTGAAAGGCTCTTGAATAACGCTCCGTTGTTGACGAGGCCTTTGTTTTAACGGCACGCAAGGGAAGACCTTCCGCTAACTTTCGAAGCTCTGGATCTCTTAAGTGGGCAACTTTTGAGGCAAACGCATATCCACCTTGTAAACAAGGGAAGTAACAACAAGAAATGTGAGAACAAATAGAAGTAATGCAAATGCAACGCAACCAAAAACATAAGGAGGGCCCAGTGACCTAAATGGTACATTCAGCACAACTAGAAACGGGCAGTCCCGCACAAAGACAACAATGGCCCAACGGCCTAGAAAAGTTTAGTCACCCATGGCCAACACATGGTGAACGGGCAGTCCCTCATAAAACATGGCCAAGTGGCCGCGCGACATGACGTCTCATAAACAGATTCTACTGGGCACTGTACTGTATAGCTCCGTCAAGCAGCAGAAAAAAACACTGGGGTACTAAAATTCTCTGAGCCAAAAAGGAAACTATTATTTGCCCCATGGAGATAAACATCTTTGCCGTTCTCGACAAAGAAAATCAATGGCAAATGATCGGAAAACCCTCCTGCGTTCTACCAAAAAGGGCCAAAAGGGAGCTGAAGACCAATAAGGAATAACCAGAATTCCTCTGCATTGACAAAAACATACATGGTGGATGACATTTTTAACTAATGAAACAGGCGGCACCAGCCAACAGGTTTCTCCTACCCAACTAAACGCTTGGGAATCCGTGCCCAAAGAATCGGGATTAAAGAACCTCGAAGAGAATCGGGGAACCTTATGGTTTTTGTAACTAGCGAAACAATCTACTGAACAGGGACCCCATTAAGAGTTGACTGCATAAAAATAACAATCTTTAACTGTCCAGTCATCACAGTCGACAATCTTGCTCAAGTAATCAGCTTTCTCGTTTAATGAACGACGTATCCACTCAGCCTCGATTTCGATATTGTTTTCTTTGACGGTATGAAATATATCAACCACGAGTTGATGCAAATGTTGTTTCATACTACCAGAATCGACGATCAAAGGAACAGCTTGGTTATCAGTAAACCACTTAACAGAACACCCTGAAAGAAGATGTGCAAAACTCTTTAATGAAAAACTAAGCACATCCAACAGCGCTAGCATCTGAATAAACAATACGAGATGGTCTGCGAACAGCGTCTACGAAACACCTGGAATTGAGATGAGAAACAGAATTCTTCCAGAACTCTAACTCCTTGCGAGCGCAGGGATCCAAATCAACTCGAGACTCCCACCCTTCTTTATGGTCAAGAACCCTGTGAAGACTCTTAGTCACAAGCCGGTTTGCACACAATACCAAAAACAAGCATACTGGAAATAATACTACCCGTGACAGAAGCCAGCTGCCTGGCAGGTAGACTACTCTGGGAGAGTGTATAATCGATACTCACGAGTAACTTGTCAATTTTGCCCTCAGGCACAGTCAGCAAGTTATCCTTTAAATCCCAGCGATAGCCCAACCAACGAAGAGACTGAACTGGGGCCCAGATGCTTTTCTGGGTATTCGCCACAAAACCAGCACGGAACAAATCCAATTTAACGGCTATAGACTGGGAGCAACAGTCGGCGAATGTAGGGCACACACCTAAACCATCATCCAAATACACAGCTACTCTGAAAGCCTGAAGGCGCCAGTAACGCACTAAGGGCCTCATGACTTAAGTAAATATATAAGGGCCAGTGGAAAGGCCTAATGGTAAAACAGTAAATTTGTAAAAGTGAATTAACCCATCCTTGGACCAGGAAAAACCTAAAAACTCTTGGTCCGGCGGAAAAATGTCTGTATGATGATAACCAGATTTGATATCGAATGAAAAAAGCCAATTCTGGGAACTATCGACAAAGCTAAAAAGCATGGTTTTAGCGTCTTCGAATTTCACCTTGGATTTCATAACAAAATAATTAGGGCGCCGTAAATTCAAAATAAGACTTTTCTTACCGTTAGACTGCATAGAAACTGATAAGGGGTTAACGACAATAGGGGCAGACTCGCATTCAAACACAAAACCTGTGGCCAGTAGATCAGAAATGGCCTGCCCAACAAAATCGCTATACTGAATGGCTGAGCGATTATTGGAAAAATGGGTTGAAGGTGGGTTGTAAATAAGAGGAATCTTATACCCGTCTAAAATGGTATCGCGAATAAAGCGAGAAGCACCTATATGCTCCTAAAAAGCTACATTAAGCTTAAGATTGCCTTTAACTTTAACAATAGGCGTTCCGTCCTGATATTCAGCACAAGAACAACTGTCACGTGAATCAGATGATTCAGCAAAGTTACCGGTAAGTTCAACTGGGTCAAAGTCTCCTAAACATTTGACTAAATCAATTAAATTATACTCATTTTGCCCTAGTCTCTGGAAAACGGCTTGCTCCAGAGAGTAAATTGTGAAGCCTGGAACGGGTTCACGAGCCCACGGGAGGATGGGCTGAACAAAATGGCAGAGGGGAAAGAACACAAATTTCGAGGCTTCCCGGAGGCTTCCCCGTACGTGTCTTTCGT